TGACCAAAATGCAGTTTTTAGTAATTTGCTAACACAATTAACAAGAAGAATCAACGTTACTGCCCATCACTTTAAATCACTCCAGCTTTAATTAAAAGATTGCATCTCAGTGGACAAGCTGTTAATGCTCAATAATAAAATAGATACTGCCAAGCTTAGACAGACCAATGCTTGGGGAGAGTCGATTCTCGCCAAGGTTTCAGCAGTTGCAGAAGGAATGAGCCTCTAGGGCAAGCATTTGTCAGCCAGCATATGCAGCTCTTAGGTGTGCTCAGGAGCCCAGCACACGCAAGTTTCCCAGCACTAGCCAAAACTGAAGCCATTTTAATGGCTTTTTTAAGAAATCTAAGTGTTAAGCATTATTTGGTCCAGGATTGTTGCAGCACTGGAAACAACAGCAGAGAAAGCAGCCACGGTAAAGTGTGAACTACTTCCTTCTATGTTTTTTTCTTAGCATCTCAGAGTAGCTGAAAGCAGCAGGATCTGCCTTTGCCCTCTCCCTTCAGATCAGCAGGACTGGCTGCCTCAGTAATAACGCTGTGCTCTTCCCAGCCAGCCTCTTCCACCACAGCTTGTGCTTGTCTTTTGTGCCCTCAATCTGCTTCCCCGTGCATTTTATTCCTCTTCCTACCAGAGAGCAAACAACACAAACACCAAACAAAAGACACACGCACAACTAAACGCCGTTTGTTTTCACTTCCCAAGAGAATGACTCCATTTAGTCCTGTTCTGGAAGTGATGGCAAAGGTCTTAAAGAAAAGAGACACGCTGAGCATCCAAAGGAAAGGCAGTGTGGATGTAGAGCAGCCTGGTTGTGGAGTCACTGAGGAACAACCGTAAGAGAAACTGTGGTACCATTCATGCCGGTGCCCAAACAACAAGGCCTTCTGACCAACTTGACATGGAAAAAGTTGATGAAGAGCACACAAAGCAAGCAGCCTGAATACTGGAGATATGCTGGAGGTATCAATTTGGCTGGCTGTGCTCAGAGGGAGGAACGGGCAGCAATGAGGAAATGCTGAAACAAGACATATGGCACAAAGACTGAAGTCTAAACGCTCCATTTAGCTCTCAAGCAGTTATATTTTATAGAGTGTAATGATTTTTCTTGAATGGGTGTAAAACGGGCACGCAAAACTGGCTGCAAGAAGTAAGGAGGGCTCACAAGTGGACATCAATGCTGCCTTAAAATAGAAAGACATAAAGTTATCTCTGGACAAGCAGCTCCATTTGCACTCCGGGCATCCCACACCAAGGCATCAGCCACACCTGGTGAGCTCTTCTTTCAGCAGCTGTAACATTCAGGATAGGGGAACCAGGCAGGCATAAGACAGGTGACCAGAGACACTCTGATAAAATTTGGGGAAGCAGAAATCTTAGTTCTCAGAAAGTTTCTACACAGCTGTAAAAGGCTGTATACAGCAGACATACATTTGCTCACACGTATGGTTGGGGAAATCCTGGCTGGAAGTGCAAACATCAGATTCCAAAAGATCACCGTGCTGCTCACAGACAAAACCCAACGCTAAAGCTACACAAACCCCAGTCATTAAAAAACCTAATCATTGAGTAAATCTCCATTTCAATTTTCAATTTAAGCTTGATTTCTGAGGGGAGAAGAAACTCCCACCACATCTGTTCACCCGGCCTGTGCCGTCCTCATAGCTGCGAAGGAATCTGTCGGGGGGAAAAGGGCACAGGAACAGAGCAAGGGAGAATTCCCACTGCTCATTTATCTTCTGTTTCTGGCACGGGCTGCTCACAGCAAAGGAGATGCTCCTAAATCAAATGGCCACAGTCAGCACAGCTCTTCTCAGCCCTAAAGAGTAGCAAAAAGCAAATGACCCAATTCCAATCAACTTCATTACAGCTACCAGCTTTTTGCAACAGGAACAGTGAGACGTGAGGGAACCTGTGTGTGCAGTATCTGAGCAGCAGGAGCTCGCATTTTTTTCAGGCTTCACGCAGAGGGCTGCTGTGATTTGTATGCAGTTGGCATCTGGAAGACCACCTTCACAGCCACCAAGCAGGCTGCATTTGCTTTTCGGAGATAAAAATCCAGGCATCTTTTGAGGCTGTATTCTCTTGCAAACGTTATTGTTCCTCTGTGGGCACACTGCACAGAAATGCTTTGCAATTTGTCTTCTCTCCCCTCATCTCCATTTTATCCTTTTTGGAAAGGAAAGCTGGGCTCTGATTCTGAGTAAGGTTCCTTCATCCAACGGAACGTAAGTTATTTAAGCCTAAGGGAAGCTACTCAGCAGTTACTAACACTAACCAAGTGTAATAAATGCAGACATTAATCCATACCTTTATATTGGCATGAGTCACCTCCACTGCTGACTAATCCTTTTATTTTTTTATTAGCCAGAATCAGGAGGGCAGTTTTACAGAAGTTCTCTTTGCTGCTGGAAAACGTGCTCTCTCAATTCCTGCACTGAAGCAGTACAGAGCCCTGCATGGTAAACGAAAGCCACACGTTACTGTTTTCAGGCAAAACCAGCACAGGGATGAGACTACACATGGATTTCTCTCCTTCTAAGGTGGAAAAACAGCTGAGCTGGTAACCTACAGAATGGTGGGCCCTAAATTTAAAGAGCAGCATTTTTCATACAGAAACAAGTTAAGTCTTTTCAAAGCACCAGCGCAATTTTCACCCCTTTCCATACCACGTTCTCGCTTTGTCCCCTACTAAAAGACTTTCACAGCTCCACAGAAGTAAAGAGAGCTCAACCCCCTCCCCCAGAGGCCCATGGGGGACCCAAAGCGGACAGCAAAGCAGTCCAGCTCAGTTAACACAGTGACATTTTGTCCCACAAATCACACACGTGCTAGGAAACTTGCGTCACATCTCCATCCCGGCCGCTGGCAGACACACCAATGTTTGATGTGAGTAAGGGGGTGGGGATGGTAAAGTTAAAAAGAGAAACCATATGTTTGCAATATACACATTTCAGTGTACACTCCATCCCACTCCGGAATGCCAACACAATCCTTTAATGAGCAGATAACATCCAGAAAGTCAGCTCACAGAAGGGCAGGGAAAGACACAGAAGTGAAATGCTTCCTTCCCAATTCCTCCCCGTGTTCAGTCAGCGACTGCAAGGCTACAACACAGCTACATCCTCCTCTTGATATTCTCAGGCTGTAGGATGTGAGTCTCCAGCAGCAGGTTCTCCTAAGAGCCGTATATTCACAGCCCCCTATAGCTACAAAGAGGCACTGTCCTCCTGCTCGCAGCGTTGGGCACTCCAACCTGACTCTTCAACTCTGTGCTATCAGTGCAACCCTTTGCAGGCACCCATCCCACTCCCTTCCCCACAGGGCATTCTCCTCTCTCTCCCTTCATCTCTCACTCCTCCAAGCGGATGAGCATCATCCTCCCCAGGGTGCATTTTCCAAAGGAGGTTTAAGGGGCTGAGCTGCCAGATTATGCCTTCCTTTATAGGGAGCTTGTCTCCTTTCTAAAGTGCTGCTGTTCTCATTGCACGAATGGAGAGGACAAAGCCTGATCCCACAGAGCAACAGGGACTTCCAGAAGGATTTCCCTCCCCCTTTCCCCCCCCCTTCATAGCTTTAGTTCCTTCCTACTTTTAAACAATGCCAAGAATTTAATCTCTCAAAACAGCGTTTTCCCAAACTTTCCCACCCTTGTTAACAGTAAGTAAGTCTCCCTGTCAGGCAGGGATGGAAGACCTGGGCACAATAGTGCTACATCATCTATAAACTTCAAATAAAACCACTCCACAAAGATTACACTAAAAATTAACCTCCTTCCAAAAAGCCTTTGGACAGGAGCCTGTTCTGCCAGCTCCTGCTTTATTTCCTGCCTTGGGAGAGTGACATGAGATGCACTGACCTTACAGACACCTGCAGCACCACCTCACACACGCCATATATTCACCCTAAAGCCATGCATCCCTCAAACATGAGCCCCAACAAAATGGATGAGACAGCCAAGGCACCAGTCCAGCACCAGGGAGGCCTCGGGTGACCATACAGTTTGAAGTTGAAGAGAGTGAAAAAATAAAGTCAATAAATGGAAAGCGAGGGCTGGGGCCTCAAGCTGAGAGGACAATGAATGAAAATTCACAACAGCAGCAAAGCGTCAGGATAAAAGGCTCAATGGTAGGACTGAGAAAAATCCCCCTAAACAGCTCAAAAATCCCTCAACCCTTAAGCAGACTGAAGTAACACATCGCTGCAAGTGCCATACAGGGAGAAACCATCCCCCAAAATGAATGAGGCTGCTCCAGAGGGGGAGATCTCAGTCCGGTTGTGGAGCTCGTTGTGTGGACACCTTCACACCCACCGCATCCCACGTGGGGAGGTGATGTAAAGGAGCCTCTGCAGGTAGCTCTACAGCCCCTGTCCCACTCTGCCACTGCTCACCACGGCATGGGGTTGACCAAACACACGCACCCCACTCCGGGCAGAAGGGAAGCAGAGTTGGCTTCAATTAAAGAAAAGAACCCCACCCTCTGCCCCACACTTCTGTGGAAGGAGGGAGCAATGCTTTTTCCTTTTGGAGGTGTGCGGATCCCAACACACCCCCTAACAGAGACAGGGGCAGAGTGCAGACCTCCCCAACACACACACACACACACACACACACACACACACACACACAGAGACAACTACACAGCGTGGGATGGAGGCACAGCCCCACACACGTACAGCATAGGGGCAGCCCTCAGCAGAGGGATCCCCAGAAGCACCACAAGGACAAAAGGGGGGGGGAGGGCAGGGAGGCAGCTCCTCTCACCTCGATCCCGGTGTGTGTGTGGGGGATGGGGGAGGGGGGGGGGGGCGGAGGGGTGTCAGACACTCTGAGGAAAGCAAGGTGACAAACCGCCTTCCGAGAGCAACGGAGAACACCGCAGCCCCTCAGCGGGACGCTCTCACTCCTCCCCGAGGAGGGCCGCTCCCCCCACACCCCCATCACCTCCCACAGCCCTCACGTACACCCAAAGCCCCGCTCCGGGTCCCGTCCCGCTCACCGATAACCTCCTGCAGCTCGTAGTCATCCTTGTTGATGGACCAGGGCAGCGCGCTGGGCTCCTCGGCCATGGCCGCGCCGTGTCCGCGGCCCGCCCGCCCTCAGGGGGGGGAGGCCCCACACGAACAGAGAAGAGCTGCGCTGTCCCGCGCCGACTCGGCCGCTCCGAATCCGACCCCGAACCAAACACTGCCGACCGCGGCTCCTTCAGCCCCGCCGCCGCCGCCTCCTCCTCCACCGCCGCCGCCTGCCGCTACCGCCGGCCAAACTTTGCCTCCTCTCTCCACCTGCCCATGCCCAGAGCGCGCTGACGTCACCTGCGCCCGCCGCCACGCGCGCCCGCCCTCAGCGCCTGTGGGGCGCCGCCCGGCGCCATCTTGAGCGCGTCACCTCTCCGCCTCCTCCGAAGGTTAGTGAGAGCGTAGGGCGCGTTGCCATCGCTCTCTCACACCGTCGCTATTCGGAGAGGGGGAGTTGCAGCGGGGTGCAGAGAGCGGGACGTGGAAAAAGGCTCATAAAGAGGAGAAAGGGAAGGGTGGGGATGCCACACACAAGATGGCGGCCGTTAGCGCCTTCCCCTTCTTTAGAAGAGCGGCGGGCGGAGTCGGTTGCTTGAAACCCACTTCGGGCAGCGATTGGCTAGAGGCTGCCGAATCCGCAGCTCCTATTGGCGGAGGGACTGTCAATCATCCGATGTCCTGCTTCAGGGTCCCTGCGCCCGAGGGGCCTGCGGGTGGAGGGAAGGGCGGCCGGGCGCTGCCGTGGAGGGTCCTCGTCAGGATGGAGTGTGGGAGGTGCCTTCCAGAACAGAGCCACTATGTGCCAGAAGTCCCTGGGGTAGGCGGGGGACATCGCTTCTTTGTGTTTGGAGGAGGATATCACATCAGTGCCAGTTTTTGATAACCTGTTATGTGCTGCGTTTCAGTGGTGTATATAATCATAGAAAGGCTTAAGTTGGAAGAGACCTGAAACATCACATAGGCCCAACCTCCTGCTCTGGGCAGGGACACCGCCCACCGGATCAGGCTGTCCAGTGTCCCATCCAGCGCTGTGTTGAGCACCTCCAGGGATGGGACACCCAAAATTGCTGTGGGAAGCAGTGCCGGGGCCTCGCAGCCCTCTCAGTGAATAAAATTCTTATCTAAATATCCCCTCTTTTAATTAAAAGCCATACTCCCTTGTCATATCACTACCAAATCACATAAAAAGTCAGTTCCTCTCCTGTTTCAAACAGCCTTTAAGTCCTGGAAGGGCTCAATGAGGTTTCCCCAGAGCTTCTCCAGACTGACCACCCGCAGCTCCCTCAGCCCTCCTTCACAGCAGAGACATTCGCACCCTCTGAGCATCCCTTCCTTCTGTTGTGTCAGAGGTACCAATCAGCTTGGTGCCATCAGCAAACTTGCTGACTGCGCACTCCATCCCAATATCTTCCTGTTAATAAGCTCCTGTCTATACTGAAGGACGTCAATGGCACAGCCTTGCCTGGATTTGATCTACATTCCTTGTTTAAAAATAGGGCCTGGGGTTAGGATGGGTATGAAGGGTTCACAAGATCTGGTTTTCCCCTCTCTGTGCCTGAAGATGAGCAATTACAGAGTTTCCCAGCTGCCTGATACTTCCACATACTCCAAGGAATGTCAGCATTCAAAGATATGTCCAACAGCTTCATCCAGGAGTTGATGTCACGTAAGTCCCTAACTGGAGCAATGTAGATCTGGACACATTCAGAAATAAGAAAGAAAATAAAAATTAGAAAGAAAAGGAATGTGAGGCCATCTGGTACCATGAACCCACCTAGGATGCTGTCTACAGCTGATATAAAATACATAAAATACAAAAAGTAGTAAAAACAATGCGTTTCTTGCTATCACCAGAAGTCATCAGGTGAATCTGATAAGATATAGAACTTGTTTAGATTACATATGAGGAGGAAGTTTTTCATACAAAGGGTGGTGAGGCAGTGGAACAGGCTGCCCAAGGAGGCTGTGGATGCCCCATCCCTGCAGGCATTCAGGGCCAGGCTGGATGTGGCTCTGGGCAGCCTGGTCTGGTGGTTTGGTGACCCTGCACATAGCAGGGGGTTGAAACTGGATGAGCATTGTGGTCTTTTTCACCCCAGGCCATTCTACGATTCTATGATTCTGTGATTCTTATTGCTTGGTAGCAGACACTGCCGCAAGACAAGGAACATCAGTCATACATATTTTTAGCTGATTGGGACACATTCCTGAGATGCCTCTGATGAAGCAGGCTTTGTGGAAGGCCACAGCACCCTGCCAAATGCCTGGTGTGACTTCAGTGCTTTCAGTTGTGCTACCTCACACGGGACGCTGTCTCTTTCCCTCTTGTCATTTTTTGTCCTACACATGCAAGAGGCTCGCAGCCCCATCTTGGTACAGTTGTGCAGACATTGAACAAAGATGGTCTCTGTCCATAAGGCAGAGCTTTCAGTTTAAAAGCTGTTCATTTTTCCTGCTCGACTGTATTAAACACTCCCCAGCCAAGCAATATTTTGTATTTGCTAAATATGCTTTAATTACTGTTCAGAATGGTCTCTGTGATCTCTTAACTGTTATAAAAGCAATTTTTGAAGCAATTGAAAGTCAGTTTTACCCTGGAGCATGCACTCATGTGGCCAGTGTTGTATTTCTGATAGCAGCAGCGTGTTAAAAAGGGATCTCAGCCAGGCATCAGCCACAAAAAACGACAGAGGCCCCGATCCTGAAAGTATTTAAGCACATGCTTTAAGCCTTTATAACCACAATCATGCATATGACTAATTTTACCACAGTGTTAATCTAGAGTCAGAATTGGATACTGAAATCTCTTATTCTATGCAGAAAATTCTTCCCCAAGGGCATCGCTAAAACTCTTGTTGAATTAGATCAATGGCAAAGGATTAGGCCCACAATGAACCCTGTTCTTTCTGAATTAACACAGGCGTTGATCAAAACTAGAATCTCAGATGTGCGCTGACAAGACCACCAGTGGCCATAGGAAATATATATACAAAATGGTGTGGTTTACTTTCTCAGCTCTGCACTTCCACATTTTTAAACCAAGATCTCTCATTCACGTAGAATCTAGGTGTTGTGTTGCCTTTTAAATGAGCATTTAATGAAATCTCAAATGACCGTTTTGGACTGTTCAAAAGTCAAGGCGTTGCGTTCATTCATTCATCCTGTCAGGCTGCTGCAATGTCAGTCTGACGCAAGATGAAAAAAAGGGAGCTGTCTTGTGAAGATCTTAATCCTTCGCCCGCTTTACACCTTCAAGCAGCACCTTCCCCTGTGTCATCATTAGCATTCTGCTCATCCCACTTTTACTGATTTGCTGTATTTTGTCTGTCTCATGTAGGTTGCAAGTTCTTCAGGGCAGAGGAAACATCTCTATTTATAAAACAGCCTGTGAAGTGGTACTGCTGAATCAAGCAGTTGTTAAAATAACAAGAAATTTTAGCAGAAATCTGCCTTGGAAAAGCAGTTTCCTGTGTATCCACCTCCGCTCTGTACCAGGCTTTGGGAGAGGCTGAAAAGTGAAAAAATTCTAGGCTTTTTTCAGGTAAGAAAGCTGCAGTCCAAGGGAAGGGCTCAGACCTGGGTTTCCTGTAGTTTTTTTCTTTTAAATAAAGCACTACAATGATCAGACTGTGCAGTCCCACTGATTCCACAGTTGAGGAAAGGCTTTTTTCTGACTGATGTCCCCAGGGCTCCTGTTCCCCATTGCCTGGCTCAGTGCCTTTGGAGGTGGCCACACCAGGCAGGCACACACACACAAAAAGCTCTCATTCTCACACACCGCGTGGTTTCCTGCCTTTGTGGGCCAATTACTTATGGTTTCCATGAAACTTACTGGCACTACCCAGTCCTTTGCCTTTTTTTCCATTCAGGTATTATTGGCTATCATAAAACTGATGCTTAATGCATTGAATGGTGATTCTAACATTCAGTGCACTGGTTTTAGTACCTGTAAAATGCTTAACCGTTGGCAATCCATTTTATCATCATCCTAAGTGTGACCATAAATAAACTTCAATTGCACCTGGATTACAGAAAACTAGTCTAAGTTGCAGTTTGCTCATCGAGGCATTGCATATTTCATCTTAGTATTCATGCAGACTCTCGGATTTGTTTCTTGGTACAGCTGAACTCGGAATTGCTCTTTCAAAACAGTCATGCAGAGTCATTGAGAGTTACAGCTCTGTCGTGTGTGGGGTCACACCGTTCACTGCCACATTCCTACGTAAAGGTTTTTGAAGGCATCATAAACGGCTGTTTGTGAGTGTGCATTAGGCACCGTGATTCCTACAAACAAAAGCAGTTAATGAGCTTATTGAACGGCTTGGTACGGGCACAGCTTACTAAAGCAAGAGGGAACTCAACAATGCCTGTTTTATTACATTCAGAATAGTGCAAGTGTGTGTTGGCAAACAGAATGCCTGGCCATGGTACACTACAAAATTTGCCTGCTATTCTTTCTTCACGGAAATACTTTCAGGTCTATTGAAGGGATCTCACTCTATCAACGGCAGCTGATTATTTAATAAAAAACACGGCATGGGATAAGGAATAGTGGTTTAAAAATCTTCTGTTGGAACAAGTTTTTATAGCAGTTGTTTTCAAAACATGAGCTAAACGCCAGTCTGAACCACGCCAGCGGGTTTCCATAAATGATCCTGTGTTAGAGCAGGTATCTCCGCCCCGTCGTTCACTGCTGTGTGCTCAGTCACTGCAGACTCACCTTCGAGGTCACTTTGAAGTCAAGTAGCTGAAGGCCTGGTTTTGACAGGTAAATTCTGGTTCTCACGCTGTGTGTACTGAAACCACATTTTGCTCTGCAAACATACCTCTTATCCCATCCCGACTGCCTCTCAGCAGAAAGCGCCCTGTTCTCTCACTTCCTCCACTGAAAAATAACCCCCTGAGTTTTAATGTTAATAAACAAGCAAAGAGCTTAGGACCAAGGCAGGTTTTTTCTTCTTTCTCTTTTTTTAAACACTTACGCATTTTATTTTTAGTACACAAGTCAGGAGTCAATTAACCCTCTTGCTAACAAATTGTAGCTTTGCTGCCTCCTTTAAATCTAATATAAAAT